ATAATATAACATAATTAAACAATTTAATAACATAATATAACAATTTAAATTATATATTATATCATTTTAATAATACAAAATATAAATACCTTGAAAATGTGTTATTTATTGAAAAATAAATATACAGAAAATGCATTATTTATTTTAAAAATGTGTATAGAGCCCTTTGTAAATTTAGGTTAACAACAAATAATAGCCAATATATTTGGAATTACCCAACTATAAAAATAAATCTACAAATATTTACAAAAATTAATTACATTTAAATTTAATACAAAATATTTGAATAATATTTAAAATTCATTATTTATTACAATATGTGTGTGTGTGTATTAAAATACAGCATTTTTATTATTATTATTTCAATAATATAATATATAGTGAAAAAATATTATTTATTAAAAAATAAATATACAGAGCTCTACATTCACGATGCACTTTAGATTCGAAGCTAATTAAAATTGCAAATGTTCCAAGGTTCATTTCTAGGACTACTCATTTCGGAGACTACAAAAATGAAGAAAACATTAACTCTTCACACACATTGGTGTATCGGCCCCAGCGGTTGTTAGAGGAGCAAAATTACCCACCATGGTGCAAAAAGTACCCACATTTTTGGTGTTAATTTCACACCCTGTTCCAGACAACAACTCACTGGACATATAATATTTGGTTTGAACTTCTGAAAAGAACCTTAAGACTGCAACCACTGCAATAAAACAATGCCTACGAGATACCTCAAGACATTTCCAAGGCTGTCGGGTAAGAAAAAAACACTCAACGCAAGTGCTAAATGCCACATGTACATAGAGCACCACAGTGACAGACCCCTTGTCCCAGCCCCAAGGTTAGCAACGAATGCCAAAGGTTTCTGGTGTTAACTCGGGCATTTAGACCAAGACAATAGGAAAGAGGACAGGAAGAGAGAAAAAATACACCACAAAAGAGTAACAGATACAGAAAGGCTAAATCAAATCATTTACACAACAGACAAAACCAAGCAATGTCGAACAAACCTTCATGTCTTCAACAACCTCGGGTACAGGAGCAACATCATGGTGTCTAGAAAAAAAATAATAAAATGATGTATGATGCTTCATTTCTAAGACCATTTTAATCTATAATGCTAAAATGAAGTACACCTGGTTCTAAGACAGAGGTCAAATCATCGAAACCTACTGAGCTGCTTACACAGACAGCATTTTAAGCACATAAACCCAAAAATGATGTCTAGATAGATAGACATTCAGGTGACTGAGCCTCACCTGTGGGCTCTGGACTCCCGACACACCACGCAGATGGGCTTCCTGTCCGTGTGGCAGTACAGTTTGAGCTCCTCGTGGTGTCGCTCACATTTCCCGTCCATTTTCACGGGTTTTGTGGGTGCTGAGGGCCTACACGTCTTCAGATAGTCGAAGTCGCTCAGTTTATCCACTAAGTTCTTTACCAGGTAGTTCTTGGTGAAACTCATTTTCGTGAACACCTGCAAAAAGGACAAAGTTGCATGTACGACGCAGAAAAGTATCGGTGCTGTACCGACAAAAGGCTCGTGCGGCGATTTGTATCTTGTGATACAATAAACGAGGTCGGAGAAATCAATCACACCTATTATTAACAACATAATAAAGTCCGGTTGTTATTTAAACTGCCGGTTTAAGTCACTCTGCATGATTTAGACGCGAATATATAGAAATCCCTCAAGTTCATTCAAGCAGCTGTAACTAAGCAACCCAGAATCTAGCAACGTTTATCAAAACAAGCCACGCACCATCCTGCACTCCGGACACTGGTAACCCACATCATCGCCTCCATTTTCCTCCCAATGCATCAAAATGCACATGCGGCAGAAATTGTGGCCGCATTTTAAAATGACGGGGTCGTCGAAGTAATCGAGGCAAATAGAACAGACTAATTCCTTCTGAAGCTCTCCTCTCGAATCTCCGGCAGTGGCCATGTTTTCCCAAGCAACAGTGTAACTGCTTTACAGGCCCAGAAGTGATTCTACGCTGAACGGAAGCGAGAGAACAGCCCATTCTGGACTCACTTCCTGGTCCAATCACGTGGGGGCTAGTGGCGAACCTGATTGGTTACGTTAGGTGGTTCTCGAATTGGTTCTGTCGAACAGCTCGTTTCAAAGAATCCCACCCTTCCTAAATATTATTAATTTCTTTATTTAACATTTTTTTTCTGTCTTGGATTTGATCTGACGCTGGTGTTTTGAGCTTTCCATGTTAGTTTCTTGTTGTAAATTGATTGCCATTGTTGTAAGCCTGTTCATATTTTGTAGTCTATTATACGTATTACGTTTTTAATACAGTTCTATCAAATAAAGTGGCTTTATTATGTTTACTGCGGTGAACAGCACATTCCACGGTCAGGTTTATGTCAGGGCCCCACCGTAACAGTGGACAAAGATTTGCTACATTTTGAGTGGATCTTGGTGGACTAACACTAACAAACTATCCATCACCATCAGATAGAAATTCTATGACAACAGAGAAGACCTCTGGTACCAAGACCAGGAAGGACAGGACTTCTCATTGGTTCACATGCAGTTTCTGCCTTTCACCCTAAGGTTTTGTCCTGCGACTGCCATAAAAATGCGCCAGGACCTCCGGATACAGTAGCAGTGGGTGAAACAGAGAGATATCACAATGATCCATCCAAATCCATTCATAACTAGGATTTCAAACCTTAAAACTGATGCAACCTACATCACATCCATTTTATACTTATTCAGAGAAATGAGTATTCTCAGTACAACATCTTACACAAACTCAGTTCTTAATGGACAATTGAATGTATGCATTTTTTCCCATCATGTTTAGACCTAATGCATTCAGAACATTGCCAAAGGTACTGTGGTGGTGGGGTTGGAAAGTGAGAAATGCATCAGTAAAACTGTAAAGATTTCTAACTGTGTGCTTTATGCAAATGAGCTCCAAAGAGAAAGAAGAGTGGTCCACTGAAATGGAGAAGCACCAAAATGTAATCTCTTCCCTATCAGAAAGGGATAAATGTACCCTTTCGACAACAGACACTCCTCGTCTCCCATCTGGTGAGACAAAAACAGATACACAGCATTCTGAGCCTCCCAGAGACACAGTAACAGATGCACCATGCTCTGAGTCTCCAGCTGTTTTAGGCAGCAACAGATTCAACCACATTTTGTGCTTCAAGCCTGGAGAAAAGAAAACATCAACAGACACCTTTACATTAAAAGTCTTTGTCCAGCAAGAAAACAACAGATGCAGCATGTCCTGAGTCTACATCCCAGAGAGACAAAAGCAGATTGACCAAGTTCTCTGGCCTAGAGAACCTTCACTTCAAGGTACTTTTGTCTGTGTGTTCCAGATTAAGGACCTTCTGCAACTACTTCAGGGCCTCATCTGTGTGTTCCAGATGTTAGGAACCTTTGGTGCTCCAGGAGATCAGCATCTCACAGCGCTGTATGTTCAAGTGTTGAAATGGATTCCAATCACTACATTGTGTTTACATGTAAACCAGTTTGTTCACGATTCAGCTCATAAAGAGATCATTTTCACTGTCATCAGGCTATTTCAATTTGTTTACTTAATTTTGAAATTTCTGCACCAAAAAAGAAAAGGAGAATCCTCAATAACTATGAATTAACTACAACTGAACTGAACAAATGTTCATCACAGTTACACGACGTTCAAAGATTTCAAGTCTCAAGACTGTTTATTTTGTGCTTCAAGGCCCAGTACATAAAAATGCATTTAGCACTGTAAATATTTAGGAGTGAACCATGTACAAAAAACACAATAACTCACCATAAATACCATTTCAAACATAACGAGTATTTCATTGTGCCCAAAATCGTGCTCATGTTTAACCTCACAATCCTCTGTGAATATGGAAACAATCCAGTGATTTTATTGCATAGCACATTTCTTTTTAAATATTATCAGCCTGATGAGGAATATATTTGTCAGGAGGTGAACTGGATTTGACAATAGGATGCTGGTTTTTCATGGATGCATAAACAGCTTGATGTGTCTAATGACAGTGAAGACAAAAAAATGTGATAGTTGATACACCAATGTCAGAGAAAAGTGAATATGGTCTGTGAAAAAACAAAAACTGCAATAGACGAACACAAATTTGGAAATCTGAGGGATTTCCTGTGTCACAGTTTTTCTTATTTTAAAATGACACTTAGTGAGATAAGACTGCAATATTTAATACATACGGCTCTCATGAATACTAATGCTTAAATTATAACCAATAGAAACAGCAGCAACAAGATGAAATTTGTTTCATTTGACAGACTGAATGTAAACTTTGTGACAACAACTATTTGACAGTGTGATATGAAATGCCTATTCAGCATTTCTCCATTAAAATCGTGGCACTTGCTGTTAAAAACCAGCATATCTGTAAAACACACTGAGCAATTGAGGAAAAGTCATATTCTCCAAAGCCATCACATATTCCGAAATACAGTAGCAAATACTGTAATACAAGCAAATACTAACACTTGAGATTAATAAAGGTGAAACACACAATACCAGTGTCAGTGTCGTGATCAGTTCATTTGAATGCACCACATGATCCCTAAGAAATGACTTAAACTTACTTTTCCTTTCACAATGTCTTTATAAATGCCTCTTTATTACCCATATGGTGTTACCCAGTGTTCAAAGTGACGGGCCCGTCACTTTTATTTTTAGACATTTTTTAAGGAAACTTTCACACACTTTGAATTACCACTTTGACTGAAATGTTCTATTAAAATTTTTTTTTTTTATGTACTCACAACTAATTAAAGGTTGGAAAAAAATGGTCAGAGTAACAACAACAACAAAATATTATTAATAATATTATTATTAATTATAACATTATTTCTTGATTGATTGATTGATTATTATTACTTTTATTATTACTATTACCACTATTATTCTTATTATTTTCTTTTTGTGATTCAAAAAATTCATTTTGGAATTTAATGAAACTAAAATGGAAGCAAATGAGATCTTGTTTCTGTTAATACATCCACTGGCATAAAATAATTTATTTTACCTCCTTATTTTACCTTTATTCATTCATTCACTCACTCACTCACCCACTCAGTCCACCAAAAAAATGGGTAGGGCATTATGGGGACCCCTGAGAACTCTGAACACTGGGTAGACCTCAACAATCCATTACTGGACAAGCAAAAATTCAGTTACAACATAAAACATCGCTTAAAATGATTTCTTTGGGCTGGTGATGAACTGGGTCGTGAGTTCTCTGTAAGATAAAACCTGTCAGAGGCACTTGTTTAAACCAAAGAAAACAAAACAAATTGATCCAATGTATGACAAAGGAGAACAGTACAGTCTCCAAGTAGTTCATTAGTCCTTCAGACCTCTGAGCTGTCACCATTATCAAGGCTACTTCTAACTATAACAGGCTGCAGGCTGGACGAGACTATTGAGGCCTTTTTCACAGGCGTCCACCTTGAGCGAACCATCAGTGCCAACACCATAACCATGAGGACGGTGAGAAGCAGTCCCACGACGGCTCCTGCCACAGTCACCGCATCTTCTTCCTCACCTCGTCCACTGAGCTCCCGTGGAGACAGTCTGTCTGCGAACAGCTCCTCCCCAGACACAGAGCGACGACGGCTGCGGTCCAGAGCGATGTGCATGATATTCGTTCCTCGGTTGTTCTCGGGTCCAATCTCCTCCGCCAGTATCGGGACTTCTCTGTTGGACCGTCTGTAGCGTCCTCTGGCCTCCGCTGGAACAAGGTCACCTGATGTTATTGAGTGGTACTCTACACTTCGCTTGCCAATGCCACGCTTGGCGTTGTCTTTTGAACGCACAGTGTAGATGGTGTGAATGAACCACTCCCTCCCTACTGCCACCTAGAGACAAGAGGGATAAGATTGAGCAAGATTGACCTTGTAAATGACAGGAATCCAGTACAGGATGTCACAGATTTGCAGTACGCCACTGTATATAGTCATTCCATAACTAATAAACCATCCAAAAGATTAGACCTGGAAAAGAGGAGTAGAATCCAGCCTGAATCCGTCAGATCCTGGCTGCTTCACCAGAGAGAGGGCAGAGGGGTCATCTACAGCCAGCAGGGCCTTGAAACCCACATCCCCAAAACTCTTGGCCTGAGTCTCTGGCTGGGCTTTGTCCTAGAGGATAGGTGGAGTCATGGGACTTTATTATTATTATTATATTAACATACAATTTATTTAAATAATGTATAATTTATTATAAAATGAAATAGAAATATAAAAATATTATGTGCTTGCATTTTATTTTAAAGACTTATATACAGTGTTATTTTAGTATTATTTATATAATATTATAGTTTTATATACTATTTAATATTTTGAACAACACTGCTAACATACTCACAATAATTTTGAATCGGTACAGCAGGGATGGAGAGTCTGCAAGGCATCCAAACTCAGACTTGGCGGGGTTGTATTTAGGAACATATCCATCAGCGCCGGTGCACAGATACACCTTCTCAATATTACAGTAGAAAGAGTCACCCAAATTCTGCACAGGGTCCACCATCACCCGTCCATAGATTGTGTCACCTTGAAGAGAACCAGCTCAGTGAAACATAAATCACAAGAATGGCAGTTCTAAAAATTACACACTAACTAGATTGTTTAACTAAGACACATCGCACAACATCTGCGCAACAACAAACAACTGAAACAAACTAGATTGTTACGTTCTTAAGTGATGTTTATCTATGCAAAACTCTGTAACAATGCAAGGGTATTGCTATGTGATTTCTAAGGTGTTCCGTGCGTTAGTAGGTGGTTGGTTATATTCACTTGCTTAAAGAAATAACCTCTTGAACTGATTAAGTTAGGTGTTTTAGTAGACGTACCCTCAGAGAAAGCTGCATCACTCTCCTGGCCGAAGCCCATAGATCCATCTGACAACCACAACGCCTTCTTAGACAACAGGAACATCTGTGTGCTCAGACTGAACTCCACCGCCACAGGGTCACTCACCTCAAGAAAGTAAATACAATAATACTTCTTTAGAAGAGCTTGGATTAACTTCTAAAAATAAATGTAAAAATATACAACAGTATATCTTATTTTATATTATTTATAACACACACACTGGAATCTGTTTGCATTTTGCTGATTTAATACAGTTTTTCTATTACAAATTCTATCAACAACCAGTAGAATGAATATCGGAAATGAAAAGCTAACTTAAATTTGAGAATGTATTTCACTTCTGCTTTACTGACAGAATATTTCTTTAGTTTACCTGCTGAAAGCGGATATCAAGATCAAAGGTAACCGGCTCTCTCGGGTTGCAGACTGGAGGAATGGTGTACTCCACATTCAGCGCTGCTGTACAGGGAATCAACTTCACTGTGTATGTGCCTGAATAATCACGAACCTGCAGGTCACGAACACACAGGCATCATGCAAGTTAGTTTTTCTCAATTGATTTTACTTTAGAACCCAGATTTTACATTGGCCATCAAGTGGCGACTCAACACAGCCAGAACTGTTTATCACGAAAAGTAAACGGAAATGTCCTTAAAACCACAAAGTGGGCAAAGAGAGATCCGCTCACAGAAAAGTCTGAGATGAACATCCATTGCTGGACAGGCTGGCTGTAGGTCGGCTCAGTCCGAACCAGAGTGAGGTTAAAGGTCAAGCCTGGGTGATCTGCACTCAATACTATGGACTTCACAGAGGATGCTGGGTAATCAGGCAAGATAGCAAGTTAATTGAATCAAATCAAGACACATGTTCAATATACCATTTAAGAGAGACATGATATTTAGATTTTACCTGCAGTCTTCTGACCCCTCAAATTTGCTGCTGGCAAGAAAACAAAACGTTCTTGTAATTCATCTTTGCTTCCATAAGAAAAATTTAGATTTATTAATTAATATAACATTAATATAATTAATACAATTATAAATATATAGCTGCAAGCAGCGATTACTAGGGTTCAAGCACTTTAAGGCATTAAAGCAAATATGAAAAAAGACATTATGTATTATTTATCAAGCCAGTATCTACCTAAATCAATGATTAAAAAGGGCATTTTTGGCAATTCCAAAATTGCCAACCTGTTTACCTGTTAAAGCGCTACCTATAGTGCAATCTCCATAAAAGTTGCCATGCTTCTTAAGAACCATATGCTGAATGTGCTCACTTAGTTTCATGAAGTTTTGAGTTTTAGTTTAGGATTTTTAGGCTTTTGGGTATATTTGGCCAGGCCCTTTTCTAAATGACCCTGTTATATTTAACCAAAGTGTAAAGATCAACCTTTTTTTGATAATTATTGACCCAGAGAGTCCAGAGAATTGTACTGCAGTGGGTTTTTGAGCATGAGCGAAAAACCTAGCACTAGTTCGCAACAAAAGTTTTTTTTTTAAGATATTCTCAAATATGTAATGAACGATTCAATTGACAGCAGTGGCACAGTTGTTCAGAATGAGGAGATCTATCATATGATATGAATACCATGTGTATGTGTGAAAAGCCATGCAATATAACGTTTACACGCTTGAAAAATGCGATATGGCCCCCCAGTGGCCGATTTCTTTCACATTTTTCACAGACCTTTAGGGCTGTGAGTCAAACAGGCCCACCGAGATTCGTTCCGATCGGCCTCCATTAACCCTGTCTAATAGGTGCTCGAACTTCATTGGCTATTTGGACACAGACACTGCATGTGAATTTTCAAGTCAATCAGATTAATAGAAACCGTTTTCATGTTTTTGTCCTATTATAGCACCACACAGTGGCCAGACACCGCGATTTTTCTCATGCGACCTCAGATTGAGGTGCGTATTGAGTTTGGTGTAAATATCTCATTCCGTTGAAAAGTTGTAGCCAAAAGTGTAAAGATCATCTTGACCCAATGATTCCAATGAAATAAGATGATCGTAAGATGATCTGTGACAAGTGATTTAGGAGTTATGAGCGATTTCGTACTTTTGATAGCTGTAGCGCCCCCATCAGGCTGATCGGGGCGAGCTTTGGTTGCGTTGTAGTGAAAGTGACGTGACATGTGGCCAAGTATGGTGACCCATACTCGGAATTAGTGCTCTGCATTTATCCCATCCAAAGTGCACACACACAGCAGTGAACACACACACACCGTGAACACACACCCGGAGCAGTGGGCAGCCATTTTTGCAGCGGCGCCCGGGTAGCAGTTGGGGGTTCGGTGCCTTGCTCAAGGGCACCTCAGTCGTGGTATTGAAGGTGGGAGAGAGCGCTGTACATTCACTCCCCCCACCTACAATCCCTGCCGGTACGAGACTCGAACCCGCAACCTTTGGGTTACGAGTCCGACTCTCTAACCATTAGGCCATGACTTCCCCAATGATTAGACTGGGGGATTACTACCATCCCTCAAAGTTTCAGGTCTCTACGCCTTACGGTTTGGTCTGCCCGATCACTTTTAGGTCAGAATACTGATCTTTGAAAAGCTTAACAATTACAACAGGGTTTCAGCGCTATGTGCTTGAACCCCTAATTAATAAGTATGGATATAATTAATAAGATTTCAGAGATGCCAAAACTTACCAGAATGTACCGCTACAAACAACCCTCTGAAGCGAGCTTCTGTGCGGAAGTTCACCACAAGCCTTCCCTGCTCATTAATCCTCATGCTGGTTGGATATAAAGCTCCTGCAGAGAAAATGTGATGATCTTTTCATTATAAATATTGTATGACTTCCCACTTAAAAGTTCTAATTTCCACATCCTGAACTAGTTCTGTAATCTTCTACATGTGACATCTGTATTCCAAGAATATGGGAATTTGGCAGAGATTTGCCCCCCATTTCTATGACAGTCAAATATAAAATAAAAATGACAAATTGTACACATAAATAACACAAGCATATTGAAAACAGAATTTTATATTCATAAAAAAGGTGCAAAATTGCCCTGTTTTTAACTCTTCTTAAACATTTATTATAGAAGGGAAATTAGAATGCAAAAATAGAAAAATTCTGGCCAATTTAACATTAACATTTAACAAAAATGAGGGAGAAAAAAATGCTTAAAGCATTTATTATTCTTTGTTGATGTTAGTAAAATGTAATTGTTTATGTTAATTCACAATGTGTTAATGTATACAACTTTTGATTTTAAAACGGCATTAGTAAATGTAGAAATTACCATAACTAATAATAATAAATGCTGTAGAAGAATTTGTCATTATTAATTCATGTTAACTAATATAGCTAACTAACTCTAAAGTGTTACCTTTAAAGCTATCAAAATCTATCCTATAAAACTTGAAAGTTTTTTTTTATTCTAATATTTTTCTCATCCTATTTGACAGAAAATGTCCCCTATTTAATTTCCCCAATTTAAGTGTTTTTTTTTGTTTGTTTTTTGAATGGAACATTCTTTATGGAGATTTGCTCAAATTCATGACTTGCCTTGCAGTTCTGCCTGAGGAGGGCTGCCGACACCATCCCTCCACAGGATGGCAGTGTCATACACAAAGGTGAGGCGCAGTTCAGAATGCAGGTCGAAGTGTTGCCAGCCTCCTGCTCCCACAGGGGAATGAAACACGTATGAGACGTGGAGAGGAACTCGCAGGGTCACGTATGACTGCACCAGGTTCAGCACCTTTCAAAAACACATTCAAATGATACTGAAGATGAATAGCTACAAATACTGCAAAAAGACTTTTTAAGATAAAAAAAAAAGAGCCCGATTCTCCACTAGAGGTTGCTATTAATAAGCACTGGCTGTTTGACAAAGTAAAGTTCATCAATAAGCCAGGATGCATTTTGTCAGAGGAATAGATTAGCTGTCTCAAAGCATTTTGATTGAATGAAACATTTGCTAATTTACATAGTCAATTATAATCAAAATACCAGGCTATAAAAATGTGCTCCTCAAGTAATGAGGTCGGTCTGAACACCTGCTGGACTGGGTTTAATCAAGACGAGAAAAATCCCTATGAACATTGTCAAATTCCCATCCTGAGGGAGGATCAGCAGGATCCGAGCACGTCCTTTAGATGCGTTTTGAATTCATGTCTCGTTTTACGGAGCTATTGCAGACTTTAAGGTTTGTTTTTGTAATAACATAGATCATTCAGACATTTAGACACTAGATTAGAGGGGGGAGCCATTTAAGCAAGACCTCAAATTCTGAAATGAAATGAATGAATAAAGAAGCCCAATGGGTTACGGTGAAGTCAATCTCCTCTTCTATTGAGAACTATGAGGAATGTGGCAGAATTAAAACCAGAAGAGAGCTACGGCTGTCACTAAGTGCTGTGCATAATAATGGAAGAAAACAAACTAAAAAAGCCTAAAAGAAGAAACCTACCAATGTTTAAATATACTAGTTTCCACTCTTATACATGGTCTATAGTATAGCATATGACTGGTACCAAAACACATACAGTGAAGCCAGGAAACGAAATTATGGGCTAAATCCACACCACATTCTCATTTTCTGCTTAAATCAGATGTCCTTTTAAATCTGGCATATTTTGCTCCTTAACTTTATACAGATACAGCATTATACATATTTCATAATAGCTTTTAATTTATTTTAAATTAATTTTGCACCATTCATTGTAATACTCAATATAGTATAATTCCTACTTTTTTATGGCAAGCATGCAGTTATCTGTCGAATGTTGAGTAAGATTCATTTAAAAAAAAAAATAGTCAGAATTGACCAAAAAAAAAAAATCACGTGATATCCAGCCTGACTGTATCAGATTAAGTTACGTTATGCATCAGATTTATTTCCAAATACGCTAACGTTAAAACATTTTTTGTATTGTTTTTGAATTAAGTCTTTTGTTCACCAAGGCTGCATTTATTTGATCAAAAATACAGTACAAATAGTAATATTTGAATATATTTTAAAATGTAATTTATTCCTGTGATGTCAAAGTAATTTAATGTAATTTATTCCTGTGAATTTTCAGCATCATTACTCCAGTCTTCAGTGTCACATGATCCTTCAGAAATCATTCTAATATGCTGATTTGCTGCTCAAGAAACATTTCTTATTATAATCAATGTTTAAAAAAGTTGTGCTGCTTAATATTTTTGTGGCAACTATGATATTTTTTCCCCCCAGGATTCTTTTGAAGAATCAAAAGAACAGCATTTATTAAAAATGAAAATCTTTTGTAACATTATAAATGCCTTTACGGTCACTTTCATTCATCCTTGTTGAATAATTAATATAATTTACAAAAAAAAAAATACTGACCCCCAAATTTGTGAACGACGTGAGGGAGAAAAAAAAATCCAATTTGGGCCACTTTTACGATGTGAACTCAACTTATTGGAGTTTTGCTATGATCTGGCTAAAACTATAGTGGTGTAAATGCGTCTACAGGAGTGAAGAGATGTGAAGAGGTAAATGAGGAATCAGAATATCTATTGTCTTCTCAAACCTAGGAATTCTTTTACGTGCGTTCCTTTAGCTCTAGGACAAGAACAGTTGCAATTTATGAACCACTAATCATTAGAATTCAGAGGATTCTAAAAGTGGTGACGACGTCTCACCTGCCCATCTGTTCCGATCGTTCCCCCGCAGTCTGTGAGCAGCTCAGACATGTCATAATAACTCACAAACTCCCACAGACAGGCCTCCAAGTTCAGGTTCTTGTAGAAGCGTAGAGTGCTCTGGCCTCTGAGGACGGGGCTGTATTGATACGGCAGAGTCTCTCCGATACTCTCTATATTCCGGGTGGCCTTGGTTAGAAAGCCATGTCGTGTGGACACCTCATTAAAGTTCAGCAGATTGGAGCACCTGTGGTTTCCCACGCGAGTGCCATCGGGGCTCAGAGTCAGCTCGAAATTGGACAGTGCACGAGTGGAGACCACAGGGAGCATGCCTGGACCACACCACACAGAAAATACATGACAATTAACAATCTAAAATCACTTTCATAATATTGCCTTGGTTAAGAAGAATATGTCATACTACTACTAATAAGCTATAGCACTGAAATATGAATATGAATCTGAAAAAGAAAAATCTGAATCTTATTTGGTTTAGAAGCGTTACCTGACAATATTTAAAGATATAGTTCATCCCGAAATGACAATTTTCTCATTATTTGCTCACTATGTTCCTGTATGTTATTTACTTTAAACACAAAAAGGAGATATTTTGAAGAATGTGCATGTTTCTCTTTTCTAACAACATATCAACAATCAACTAAAAATAAAATAAAAGTAATTAGTACAACTTTTATGCACTATTTTCCTTATGTTTTAAAACCATATACACAAACTTGAACACCATACTTAAATGTTAGTGCAAATGTGATTTGATAGCTACTGCACACAGGAAGATTTTCACTTAATTATGTCTTAAATGCTCATCTTTTCCTTACACAAATCTACCATATGGTTTTAGAAGATTAGGAATATAGTGTATGAGTTATATGGACTACTTTTATAGTGTTGTTTTTTGGACAATCTAAAAAAACAACACTATAAATGAACATTTTATAGCTTTCCATTCTTGGGCAATATTCAAAAGTGTATCTTGTTGTGTTCACAGAAGAAATAAAGTCATACAGGTTTGAAATAACATGAGGGTGAGTAAATGATGATAGAATATTCATTTTTATCTGGAATAATTGTTAAATTGTTCATTTTGCCTGCAGAAAAGGTAGTTATCTCAGGGTGTCACTGTATTGTAGGAAAGCTATGGAAAAGTACAGTTAAAAGCAAACAGCTTTTGATGAGTTAGGAAGGTAAAATTAATGCAACCATATTTAGTCAAATGGCCTAGATTTCTGGCATGAAACTAGAGACAATTTTCCCCCCAAATACTTTAAAATACTTTGCACCCTTTTATTATTTTCTTCCCAGACATCATTTTGATGGAAGACAAATGTGATTTTGATGGAAAATGTTGTTGGCAAATGTGTGACATGACACTTCATGTTTATGCATCATTCAGACTTTGATTTAGGCTTTTGAAGAGAGCTGTAATATTTAGTTTTGACAGCAGATGCATAAATCCAGCAAGAATGCCAGCTTTTCCCCCAAGGGATATGTGAGAGGGGTTTGTCTCAGAAGGGCTGAACTAAGCAAACAACCTGGCAACCAGAGGGGAAATAATTATCTCACCGTCTATGTGGGGCATGGTGACAGTAAGCTTGATGAGATTGGCATATTCAGGGTCTTCGGCACCTGTATAACGCAGTTTGGCAGAAAAGGGCTCAGCACCTACTGTGCCCAATTTACGTGGCTGGCACATCCCTGCCCAGGAACATCAAAGACATGAAACATTACTTGAAGCATATTACCACCTACTGACAGTCTAATTCCACTTTGCAAATGGCATATTATAACCAGCAGCTCAGGAAAAGCATAATGTCCTTTGGTGCCGCTATACAAAGCAAAGCATTTTTATATGATTCCACTTAATGTGATGCTTTCGGGCTCACCTTCCTCCATGCTAATAGACACAATGGGGCTGCTCAGCTCCAACCCCTCATCCCCATTAGAATTCACGGCACGGGCCGCGCACTGCACTCTAGAACCTGCTTGGACGTAAATGGAGTCTAGGGTGATCATCTTGGAGGAAGTAAAGAAGGTATCAAAGTCTGCCTCTCTCATGGGGCTGGTGACACCATCCGGACCACTGGGGGCGCTAATGAGCCATCGGTAACGAGTCAGTGTGTCGTTGATGCGTTCGCTAATGCAGATGGAGCCCGTTTTGTCATAGTCTGGATATTTGGGATTGCAGGCCTGGATAAATCAGAGAAATAAACAAGCACAAGAAAGAAAATCGGAAAATGAAAACACTACATTTTAAAATACAAAATACTATTTGATTAAAAAAATACAATTATTAGATAAAAAAAAAAAAAGAAATACAGCAAGGATGAATGCTGCTATTTTGAACTTGCATCAAGGTTTTCACAAAAATAAAAGATTTATAATAAGAAGTGTTTTTTGAGTACCAAATCAGCATGTTAATAAATCAGCACAATGATTTCTGAAGGATCATGTGACACTAAAGACTGGAGTAATGGATGCGGAAAATTCAGCTTTGCCATCACAGTAATAAATTACATTTTAAAGTATATTCAAATAGAAAACAGTTATTATGAAGTGTAATAATGTTTCAAAGTATTACTGTTTTTACTGTATTTTTGATCAATTGTTAAAGTTTTTTCAAAAACTTCTAAAAAAAACAACATCACCAAAAAATGTACCAAACCCAAACTTTTAAACCGTAGTGTACATATAATATAATATAATATAATATAGTAATATGGTAATCACTGAATACCATGGTACACATATGAGGGAACCACAGTTTTACCATCACTGTTCTGTGGTATCATCACCATACTTCCACACAACAAACTTCACACACAACAGACTTCTGTTTAATTATTTATCACAGGAAAGAACACGGAGGATTTGAAACATTAAACATTGTTTGTGTTTCTTGTGCTCTTTCTTAAGTCCTAATGGTGTAAAAAAAAGCACAATCAATGAAGCCTATATCACTACAATATATATAGCTTAAGATTTGAAAAATCATTATAATCTTTTTCATTCACTTGTACTTCAAGGACCTATTAAAAACCTGATAAAAATGACCACGCATTTAAAATGAATATATGAATGATGCTGGTCCCAAGTAAGTTGGGAAATGTTCTGAGGACCTTCTCGCTTTTTCTTCTGACAAACATACCGTGACGCAGATGACTGGGTATCCAGCGGGTGGGTGGGCATTTTCTTTGGTTCTTCTGACATCATCATAGTGAAGCAGTGACACAACATGAGGCAGTGAAGGGAACGTGACGTCAGCCATACTGTTGGCCTCCTTAATGTACACTATGGCTTTAGTCATCTGCCAATATAAGAGACATAGATTTTCAATTTACATGAACTATGTATTAAACTCCAGATACGAAGAACATACCACAACATACCATTTCTCACCTGGATTTCAGCAACCATATTCTCATCTGGTTTCAGATGGACAGTGAAGGACTCTCTCATCTCTCTTACACCATCAAACAAAACCTCCACTTCCACTACATGCTCGATCTCACCAGCTTTAAATTCAACATCTGCGCACACACACAGACACAAAATATATGATTACATCCACTAAAATAAAAAACACGCCTGACGTTTCTTCTCCTAAATACTTCCACACCTGATTGCATTTGTCATTTGCATCCTGAACTCTATATAACCTGGTGTAGACAGGAAGTGCATGCATGTGGAAGCAGCTTGGAGCCACCTGCCAATCTACAAAGGATAATTAGATGCGGCATATTCAAAATGCAAATGACCCGCTCTGGTCTCCAGAAGCCTCACCGAGGGAGATGGGATGGTAGTCTTCTCCAGATATGGCAGAGCCATCTTTCGTGTGCACCCTCACCAGGGACACTTTCGAAACGTCTCCTGTCCTGCGGATGGGGATCTTCACCAACGTCATCTGCCCCGACTCTTTTGGCTCACTAACACTGAACTTTGTCTCGGCAAACTTGATGATGGGCTCTGAGAGAGGAAGATGAAAAAGACAGATGAGAATTGAGAAGTTTTTGTTCATTAAAGGATTCTTAGCCAAAAGAGAATCTGTTTAGTCAGTTTACTGAAGTTTGACCCAAATTCTAGAAATCTGAACCTAAATGTCAGGTATTTATTTTAATATTCATCTAAAGTGTATTTCAAATGAGAACTGCTTTGATGAAAAATGTTTTTGCTTCTTCCTTACTGTCAGTGTTGTCCTTGATCTTGATAAGTGTTTCATTCTGGCTGCCTATGGATGCTCCGTATGGCGAGTCGCTCTTCGCACTCCCCAGAAGCAGCCTAAGTTCCTCCTCCTCCTCATGAATCGAATCATCCACCAGCTTCAGCACACATGGTTTTTCAGACTCACCTAGGGACCAAAACATGGAGACCAAAGTCTGAACGAAGAAAACACCTCAACTTTTTTTTTCACCGTTCAAAAAATTCATTAAAAAAGCTAAACTGACATCGCCTTACGATTAGGCAGTCATTATTAATTCAAGTTTAATTCACTCACCTATTTCTTAGTTTATTTGTTTCTTCAGTCATTCAATTCTTTGTTCATTAATTTGTATTTCTATTAGTTTATTTAGTTCTTTATTTGTTAATTTGTTTTTCATTCATGAATTATTTTGTACATTTATTTGTTCCTCTGTGTTCATTCTTTTATTCAGTTGCAGCTTCCCAAAAGAAAGATTCGACTCTGAACAGCCTAAACAAGTCGTCAGTAATTCGAATCCCACTTCTGTGACGGCTACACGTCACGGGTAATACATCTGCATAATTCTAGCCTATGTTCTACGTTGGCCAGCCACAAACAACTTGACCCGCCCTCAGACACTGTAGCTTGTTTGTGTGGTTAACATCATGTCGAGAAACGCCGTGTCCTATGCGGTGAAAGTAAATTCATTTTATTTTCACTTCCGAAAGATGAGGCTGCAAAAAATCTGTGGTTAAAATTCATCTTTTACACTGTACAGCAGTACAATCTCAATCTTTTTTGTGTTCCCGTCATTTTACTGATGATTGCTTCTCTAATCTCGGGGATTCACAAACGTTTGCTCTTGAAAGATGGCTCAGTACCCAGTTTACCTGGACCAGCTGGCTCCACTGAATCACAACCTGTAAGTGTGATAAATAATAGATGTTTATATTTTCTATTGAGCGTTCAAAATACGGAACTATGGAAATGGGTGTATCATTTCCGACACACGCTGTACGTGGTAGACCAATCACAACAGACTGGGCCATCTCACCAATCAGTGCAGAGTAGGCTCACACAAAGGATGGGTTTAGAGAGACTGAGGTGATATTAAATGTATATTTTGAGAAAACAAAATGCGACCTTGCATGCAGGTAAACCTATTGTAGGAGACTCCCAAAACAATATTAGGAACCTTAAAAATGACATAATAGGGGCACTTTAATTCATGTGTTCATTCATTCATTTGTTTATTAATTCACGCATTCCTTTATTTATTTGTTCGTTCATTTACGAAGTGGTTCATTATTTGTTTGTTCATTCATTCATTAACCTGTTCACTGCAGGTTTGTTTATTCAATCATTCATTAATTAATTTGTTCACTGTTAGTTTTGTTGTTCATTCATTTATTTGCTCATTGTTTATTTGTTCATTCAATTATATCATTTGTTTCTTCATTCATTTTGTTTGTTCAATTCATGCGTTCATTCATTCCTTTGTTCGTTCATTCATTTAGTTGTACTTCCCTCCATTCCACTTCACCTCTTACATAAAAGGCTATTTACCAGGCAAGAAAGTTACGATGGAAGTGTCAGTGTTGGGTCTCTCATCAAAGTCGGACACCACCTGTGCAGAGCCCTGCCGGGTGTAGCAACGTACAGTGGACTTGTGTCTGATGTCTCCGTTGCGGTGTACAATTGCAGTGATGTGACCTTCACTCTCCTCTGCAGTCATCACAGCCTGTTTAAACTGCACTTTTGGCACTGAAGAAAGAGAACAAACAAATCCAAATGCTCTAATATAACAGTCCTCCACATCAAGGACAAAAACTAGTGATAATTGGGTCATTCATTCTGTGGGTGACAGACAAGTCTATGAAACAGTATATACATGTGTATGTGTCGCAGTCACAATTTGTTAGAAAAAATGTTCAAAAATACTCACAGTCTGAAATGGAGTCATTGATAAAGATCGTGACTTTTGCTGGCTCTCCCAGAATTCCATTGGAGGGCATCCGGAGAATAAGCTCAAATCTCTCTGTCCCTTCCTGAACAGGCTGGCCTAGGTCATCCAGGATGGTGACCCAGACCGTCTGCATGCTCACGCCCGGTGCAAACTCCAAGTTTCTGCTGATTCCCACATAGTCCAACCCCGCTAGCAGATGAACACACAGAAAAAAGGCTCAGAGAGAGGTCAGACGATATTTAACGGCAGAAGCACAGGATCCTCACTTCCGATTAATCCTCTGTTCAGAGAGACTGCTGTTGTGAGGGATCGATGTACAGTATAGAGCTTACAGCTTAAGTTTGGGTTGACTGCACAGAGGACACGGATTAACATTTTTTTTTTTTATTTCAGCTTTGCTGAGAGCTCCAAGCTGCATTTTTGATGCCACACATCACTTGTTCAAGGACCTAGTCATAATATTCAATAATGCTAGCTGATAACTCTCACATTGATGAAATACCTTCGGCCGTTAGTTTGTTTGCAGAGAAAAAAAACAACAACTGGAGATACAGTACAGGACTTTAAAAGAAGATGACTTTTTTTTTTTTTTACAAATTTGTAGCATTTAAACTTTCCAAAACAAGTTGGGTTTCCTCAACCAAAAAAAAAATGAATTAAAATGAACTCTACATCTATGGCTTTTATATGTAAATGAACTCAGTTATTATTGGTTAACAACTTTGCATATTGTATAAAATGAGTAACAATGCTGGTTGAGGATGGGGAAAAAAGGATGGATTACTGGGAAAATCAAATGATATCACACACCTTCAGCAGAAACAGGGTCTGTTTTGCGGGACCTCACAGTGACCGTAGCTTTTTTAGAAAGATCTGTCCCTGTCCTCCACACATGTACTTCAACGTGTCCGTCGCTCTCATCGGCGTGACACTCCTGATTGCTGAAATAGAACACAGGAGCTGTGGGGGAAAATAAGCCGAAAAGGTAAACATAAACTTCCATGAGTAATGAGTTTCAATGAATTGGTTTTTCCATGACTGTTCCAGTCATTCATAATCACTGAATAAGAATTTTGAAAAAGCATTCAAATTTTAAAATTTGATGTTAAATTCTAGTTTATTTATGTTTAATGCTATAGTGTTTTCTTACATAATTTTTTTATCATATCTAAACATAACTTCTTTTGAAGGATATGAAAATATGTGAGCCTATAAAATCCAATTAAATATGTTCAAAAGTTTCACTGTTAATGTTCGCAGTTACACAAGTGTAATATCAAACCAATTTAAAAAGCATTTTAGAGCAGAATATGACAAGATAAGATACAGAATGTTAATGATTTTTCTATGACCTTTAAGATTTATTAATTTAAGTGATATTTTCAGATATATATTCCATAAGCACAGGAACCCTGTTGATTGCAATTAGTGAAATTGTAATACATGTGCCAATCCTCAAAATCAACCCTTCCTCCTTTTTTTGTTGTGGCATACAAGAACACTTTATTATTTACATTTAATTGTAACGGTGGAGAAAAACCCTTGAATAAATCATGTACTGAATAGTAAATCAACCTCCTCCCAAGTAATAAAAGCTGTATGACAGCTAAAACCAGCTCTGTTTCATAACCAGCAGCTTCACCATCTCAACACCACTGTTCAGTTTGCTGACGGAACAGTGGACGACGGTTTCCATGACAACAAACTGACACCTTGTATGGAAGTTTGTGTTTTTCTCACCCGCGGCGTCTAAGAGCAGAGGTCTTCAACAGCTGCCATCACACATTATCTACAGGAAGCTACTTACAAAGAAATGCCTGTAACCTCTCTGTTCAGAACACACTCCAAACATAAGTTCAGGTCACAAATTGCAGGGTTTAATATGAACAGATTTATCTTCATTCAGCATACAAGGAATGAATACCAATAAATACCAATAATACTTTACCCTGAACTAAGATTTTGTGGATGTTTCTGTATGTCTGTGAAAACTAACGGACCAAAACACATTTATTTTGGAACTATGGCCTATTAAAAATCATTTTCATAACTGAAACAAAGCCGAAATAAAATATAAATATTAAATGAAAACCTTAAATGAAAATTAGAAATGTTGACTTGGCAACTAAAATTACTGAAATAATAATAATAACTGAAATAAAAATTAATGCAAAACTATGGAAGCTTGTTTCCAATAAAAACAAAAAAGGTAATTGCGACTTTTTAACACACAATTCTGACTTGCGAGTTCTGACTTTTTTTTCTCAGAATTGCGTGATATAAACTTGCAATTGACTTTTTTCTCACAATTGCATGTTATAAAGTCAGAATTGTGATATAAACTCAAAATTCGGACTTTTTTCTCGGGATTGTGAGTTTATATCTCACGATTCTGACTTTGTTGACTTGGCAACTAAAATTACTGAAATAATAATAATAACTGAAATAAAAATTAATGCAAAACTATGGAAGCTTGTTTCCAATAAAAACAAAAAAGGTAATTGCGACTTTTTAACACACAATTCTGACTTGCGAGTTCTGACTTTGTTTTCTCAGAATTGCATGATATAAACTTGCAATTGACTTTTTTCTCAGAATTGCATGTTATAAAGTCAGAATTGTGATATAAACTCAAAATTCTGACTTTTTTCTCAGGATTGTGAGTTTATATCTCACGATTCTGACTTAATAACAAGCAACTGCAAGTAGTGTGAGATATAAACTCGCCATTGTAAGAAAATAGTCAGAAAATAGTCTTTTTTACTCTCTAAATTGGACTATCGTAACTTGCAATTGCGAGTTTAAATCTCACAATTCTGAGAAAAGTCAGAATTGCGAGAAAAAGTAAGAATTGCAAGATATAAACTCTATAAACAATTATGAGGAAAAAAGTCTGAATTGCAAGGAAAAAAGTCAGAATGGAGAGTTTATATCACGTAATTTAGAGATAAAACGTCATGATTACCTTATATATTTATTGGCGGAAACAGAACTAAACAGAAATATAAATAAAATTCTGTCCATCTAAACACAATTAAATTAAACTGACTAAAAATATAACTTAAAATGTCTATAAACAATTATGAGGAAAAAAGTCTGAATTGCAAGGAAAAAAGTCAGAATGGCGAGTTTATATCACGTAATTTAGAGATAAAACGTCATGATTACCTTATTTATTTATTGGCGGAAACAGAACTAAACAGAAATATAAATAAAATTCTGTCCATCTAAACACAATTATAAACAAAAATGACAAATGCACTAAAACTACAATTAAAGTGACTAAAAATATAACTTAAAATATCAAAATAATAGCTAAAATCTCAGGGCTTGAAAATTTAAAACACTGACATTAAGACATTTTCTTGTAATTGCCCATGAAAAAGGTGCTAAAGTATTGTGAGTGATTTCAAGGGTGTTGCTATTTGGTTGCTAAGGTATTCTGAGCGTTTGTTGCCATGCTGTCGCTAGATGAATTCTAACTGGCCCAGGTCTCTGAAGTTTTCTGGTCCCTGGATACAGCCTTTTTTTTAAATTTTTTTTTTTTAAGCACAAACATTGTAATAAAATTGTTTTAAAATGATTCAGTTGCTGAAAATGAGGGGAAGCATTAAAAAAAGAATTAGTGTGTTGAAATATTCACAGCTGCATGAGACGAAGGGTGAAGAATAAAATTGTTTTAAAATGATTCAGTTGCTGAAAATGAGGGGAAGCATTAAAAAAAGAATTAGTGTGTTGAAATATACACAGCTGCATGAGATGAAGGGTGAAGGTGAAAGTTAAAGCCCCTCAGGGTAAAATCTCAAGCTGTATTATATTTTGATACACAGGCGGAAGCTTCAAGCAAGCCTATTTCAGGACTTATCACAGCACACATGAACTGTGCTGAATCATCCGAGCGTTATCACACTCAGTAGGGCTAATGAGGGATGATTCATGCACAAAGCAGATGAATGAAGGCATCTGCACCACATAGAGCAAACTTGCACAGGATTCAATTTTATGAAGAAGATACAATTAGACAAAGCTCCAAATTATTAAGTCCATATGGATATAGGCACACGGGGAACATTCATATCCAGATGTCCAAACAAAGAATTGATTAGACGGACACATTATCACCTGCACTGTTAGATTCATATTCCAATTATCAAAAGTCGCTTGTGTTCATACAAAACATTCATTATTTTGGCAAATATTTGTAGCTATCTCCCCCGAGATGTCCTGTTCCAATCAAAATCTCAGCACGTCACGTCTATTTCCGGGAGCCTGTTCTCGGGCACGAGTCTGTCAGAGCTTTTTAAAGCTTCAGGTGACTGATAAAAAGTCTGTGTGTTCTCCGATTCTGGAAACTCATGTTTGAACTCGTCGGTAGCATGGAGTGCGGATGGGTTTATGCAGTTTTGACAGCTTTGTGAAACATCTTTCAGAAAACTAAGTTGGAAAAGGAGGTGGGAAGCATTGAGATTTGTGTGGTATTTAGTTGTATCTGTCAAAAACTGAAACTATTTTTACACTTCAAGGGAAAATAAGATTAGAAATTGCTGTTAACAGGGAACAGATTTTGAAAAGAGACATCAAAAAGGTGTTTTTGGCATGTAGAATTTTTCTGTGTGACATCCTTGCATATTAAGCATAGCTGAATTGTGGGGTTTGTAGCGAAACCAACACAAGGAAATCATGGGCTGCTTCTCATTATTGTGGTTAGATCAATAGATTCTGCTTCTAGAAATTAAACTAGAACATTTGTTGTGAGAAAATAATAGCCCTTATTTCTTCTAAATAACAGCTACTAAATAAAAGCATTTAGAAACTAGCCACAACTACCATGGCGATAAGTAAAAAAAATTAAAAATAACAATATAATTGGACTATTTTACCATAATTAATAAGTATAAACAGTGTATTTTTGTGTATTTATTTCTCTCTTGAAATATTTCTGTTTTTGCATGAAACCCCCTTTATAATTATTTAAAACCGTTTATTGTTTTTATCTAGAGAAATATTGCTTTATTAAATTATGTATATAAAACACACATTTTTAAAAGCTTTTGAAAGAAGTCTCTTATGCTCTCTATTTATTTGGTCAAAAATAGTAACAACAGTAACATTGTGAAATATTATTAAAATTTAAAAACTATTTTGAAATATTATTACAATTTAAAATAACTGCTTGCTTTTTTAATACATTTTAAAATGTAATTTAGTCTTGTGATGACAGTCTTCAGTGTCACATGATCCTTCAGAAATCATTCTAATATGCTGATTTGATGCTTAAAAACATTTCTTTTTATCATCACTGTTACTATCTATCTATCTATCTATCTATCTATCTATCTCATTTAAAATATTTTTATTT